AATCTGGTTTGGGGCGTTAAATAATCTAATCGTGTGTATATTTAAGAACAAACGATTGGGCCTTGGATTTATTTCGGGCCTTGACTAAGTCCATATAGTCCTAATCTTCTTACTCAGCCAGAAGGTTCGTCAAGTTTAATGTTTGAAAACTTATCGTTGACTTTTCCGCCACGGAGTCATCTACTGGTACGTTAACTAATGACATAATAATAGTGGCGACTAGTTTAAATTTCTTAATTTTTGTTGTCTTTACTAAAGTTTTGAATTCCAATTTTTGTTTATGAATGACTATGAACTTACCAGCAAAATATATTTAAATTACATAGATTTTTCAAAACCCAAGAAAACAAACCAAAATTATGAGACACTTCCCTAATTGTAAATACAAGCGTTTAATTTACAAACAAAGACTCATATTTTTAAGCAACGTTAAGTCTCATGATACGACGTTAAATCAAGCGCATTACCATATCATCGCAGTGGCCCTGTGTTAGGTTGCAACCGACACGTCATCATCCCGCCACGAACCATCCGCCGGAGTCTGATGTTCAACGAGTGATTGTCTGCAAGTCGGACAAGAGGAATGTGAGAGCAACCAAGTATCTATACACTTCACGTGGAAGCCATGGTTACATTTAGGCAAAACCCTAACTTTCTCTCCTTCAACAAACTCTCCTAAACAGATCAAACACTCTGTGGCTTTCATCTTAAGCTCCGAGCTGTAAGAATCCACGGGAATGCGCTTCAACGCTTGATTCTTGATCCCGTTCGACACGTTTGCGTTCGTGTCAGTTGGATCTTGGTTTGGTGTGAACCTCCTTGTGCAGCGTATGACACAACGCAAGATCGAATGGAGGCTAAGGGCACAGATCAAGGCGCATAGAAGAGCGGCTAGTATGATCACCATGTTTGTATCCATGCTGGCTACATTATTGTTGTTGTTGCTAGAGACTCCTAAGGTTCTAGGGTTTGCATCAGTAGCTGAAAGCGTTGGGGCTGCTTGCGTCTCAAGTAAAATCCTACCCATCTTTAAGCGCTTCAGAAACAGAGCGAAAATCTTTGTGAACTCACCTTCAAGGTTCTTCTTACTGCTCCACTTGTCTTTGCTCCACTTTTCTTTCGAATCGGACTACGAAAGATATCAAAAGGAGAGATTTGAGTTCCTTCATGCTCTGATAAGGAAGAGAACAGCGTCTCTTTTTTTTTTTAGGCTTGATAATCTTTGATGATCCGGATCTGGAACTCAAAGACCAGTAAAGTCCTTTCGTGATAAAAAGATGGAATCCATGGAGATTTCAATTACCAAAGCTTAGATCATATCCTTTCTAATTTGTTTCTGTGTTATAAGAAAGAGAGAGAGAAAGGGATGATGATTGGGTGGTCGGTCCAAGAAATCTTTGGTTTAGATTTGTTGATATATAAATATGATTATTTAAGAGAAAAAAAGACTATGGCATATAATCTTTTGTTGGATTTGTATAATTTGTAATTGGGACAAATATGAAAGACATGGCTAAAAAAGACAACCAATAATGCAGAATATAATTTTGTGTAGCTATATTAAAATTGACGTATAACAAACTCTTAATTAGTGGTCTTGAGAACTTTGGAATCAAGCCATAGGAATTCCACTCTCATATATAAAAAAGATTAATGAGAAACGATGACTTAATAAAAGAAACATTCGAACTCTTAAACTAAACTAATTATTAATGATAAACAAGGACTTATTTTATTTCTTCATAGAACTATGAGGATTTACTGATATACAACACTTTTATAATGGATTCTAGATTGTTTCAATCATAAAAATGTAATTATTGGGTGGAGGTAAACTTTTCCCTTCACCAGTTTTAATGGTAAGCAATCATCAAAAGAAATACAGTAGAAGATAAAGTGTGTTCATATATTAATCTAGTAATTTACTGTCTTTGGGGCACTTTGAAACATAGTTTAATGTTACTAAAAATGGGTAAAGTATTAGTTGGATTTATATTGAATGGTCTAGATAAAGGGAAAGAGAAGCATATTGGTTGGGCTCTTTGGTCCACATGTATGCAACGTCCAATTCAACACATACTGATGTGCAAATCAAGCAGACGCACAAGCTCACGCAAGAGAGACAAACACTTGTCTCATCTAGATCCACTACATTCATTATCTCAAAAGACTCAAATCCTTAAAAAAATTATAATTCAAAAACTAAACAAATACTCTTATCTGACCAAATCCCATTCATTAATTTTAGGGGTTTTTATTAGTTTTTGAATTATAATTTTTTTTTTGGCTATCTAACAAATTGACCCTTAAAAATTTGTGTTTGTGCATGTATTATTGACCCCCATGACAAGCGTTTGATCTCTGTTTCTTGCACCTTTTTTTTCCATCTAATTGTTGGTTTGTTTTCTTTTGACATGTGTTAACAAATATGGACCCCCGTAGAAATAAATCTTGGCTCCGCCACTGCATAGTATATTATGTAGGTGGCTATTTTACTCTATATATGCTAATCTATAATTACTCTTTTTCAGAAAACATCTCGTCTAGAAATTCTATCTATTAATTCATTTTCAGTGATTTGGCTTTTGGGGTATTAAAGCTATCTCTAGGTTTTAGTGCTATATTGGTCGACAAAAGCAGCTTATTTCAGATTGAAATAGTTAGGTTTAAAGCTAGAATCAACCCAAACGAGAATAAATCAAACCGGTAAAAAAATGGTGAATACGACTAGAAGCAGACTATGACTAAATCTAGTTTTGTTGGGTTAGATTTCGACTTGGTTCGGTTAATCATTAAAGCATAGACAAAAAGAACAAATAGTTGTAGTCTAGTGTTTTGCAAAAAAAAAAAAAAGTTGTAGTCTAGTGTTTGAATGTTTTCATAACGTTATAATTATACCAACTTGTAACATTTCAGCAATGGAATCACTTGTTTGGTTAGGCTTTGGTGAGCCTGAATGACTGTTCCATAGAAGCCCAATCAAGAAGCTGGCCAGGACTATTAGCGATCGTAGGGCTGGTTTTATTTATATACTAGATTTTGACCTACGTCAAATCTGGGATTAAATACTTAAATATGTTTTTTAATTGATTTTAATATTTAGACGTGTATCATAATATTTATAAACGTATAAAATGATATGTATTGTGCATAAATGTAATAAAATTAAATTTTGACCAAACATATTTTAATGTCATATGTTTTGATCAATTTTGCATAAAAATATTAAAACTAATGCAAATATTATTTATTCAATTTATTTGAAGTGTAAAATAAATTTTTATTATTTGTGTAAATTATAGAGTATGCGATAAATCAAATAAATTTTTCAGTGTAACAAACAAAAAATATATGTTTTTATATAAAAAAACATGAATTTTTATTTTTGAATATTCTAATCTCGTGTTTTACGCATGTCAAAAAATCTAGTAGTCATTGAAAAGAAAGTAAGATATTCTCACA